TAGGCCCAAAATGTCAGCCTTCCTGCTCCTCTGATGCTGCTTGGCCTGCTGTGTTCATCCAGCTCTACACCTTGTTATCTCAGATTCGCCAGCATCTGCAGTTCCTACTATCTCTGAAACACTTTTTTTGACAGTTTCTGCAACAGCAGTCTTGCATTTCTCGGGTAAGATAAGTGGTTAGGACTGAAAATTAAGATTTTCAATGTAATGAAGATCAAAAACCATTGCAGCAAAATAAGTTTGTACTACATCACTTTCTATGCTTGACCACCTTTCCAACTGACGGTAATTGAGCTGAAATATGGAATTCAGGCAGGTACCAGGTCAATTCTCAATCTGCAGAATCATTCTCACATTGTCTGCTGAGGGTTACTGACATTGATCAACTGACTGGATTTACAAAATATAACTAAACTGTAAAGGAATGAGGACAAAAAGAGAGACTACAAATGTTGAATCAAACACTTACCTACATTTCTTGCAATTTGACACAGGCCATCTTGATCCACAACTTTGGACACTTGTTGCCAAGGGTCAAATGCTACTTGGGCACAGTGACCTCTACCATTTACAATGACAGGGGTGTTGGGTGCACGTAGCTTCCAATACCTTCACATTCCTCTCGAAGTCATACACCATTCCTACTTGGAACTATAATCACTATTCCTTCACTGTCAAAATTCTGGAACTCTACCCAAACATGCTACCTGTACCACATGGACTACAATGATTCAAAGCAGCAGTTCACTATCATCCTTTCCAGGGTAACTAGGAATGGGCAATAAATGCCAGCAATGCCCACAAGTCAAGAATAAAAATAATGTTCTTTATTGTATTCTATTTAGTCTGCTTCAACTTTCTAATTCTTAACCTTGATCAGCCAATTAAAGGACGCTGGGTTTAATCATTTGGTTCTCAATCTGTTACAGGATGGAATTGAGGTTATTGAGTCAGTACCATGCCGTGAGAGAGTTACTGGAAACAACAACCCTGCCTTCAGTCATATGGAACTGGACTGCAGCGAGAACAGAAAAATCTAGAGCAATGAATGGCTGTTTTGTTCATCAGATCCAGAGTATCTATGTATGATTGCTTTATCATGGCTATCCCTCTCATTCTACTTTCACACAGTAGAAACCTTGGAAATCCAGACTTTGAGTTCACTAGCTCACATTCATGACACTTGCAATTTTTGGTCTAATTAGGCATGAGCTGTACTGCCTGAACTCCCAGTCTATGTGCCCACTGCAAAAGTTTTACTTCATCTTATCATGTTGACCCCAATCTGTCTTGCAAATAAAAAAATACTAATTTTCTGATTCTGTTACCCTCAAACCCTTCCCTTCAAATAATTACTTCAACTCCTTTTGAAAAAAAAAGTTTCCAAACTGACCTAACACAATTTCTATTCATCCATGGAGGGCAAAAATGGGTTTTCTACTACTTTACAAATTAAACAGGTTTTCTTTTTCTTGAAGCCAGCAAGCTATGCATTCAATTACTTTTCCTTTCTAGCTGCTTTATCTTTAAATATTGCTGAAAAAAATAGAATTTTGTTTTTGTTTTGTCTTGCACTCATCAGGACAATTTGCAAGAAATGTCAAACTAAAGGGAAAACAATTTTTGTATTGGATGAGAGAATGCTGACTGGTTGGAAAGAGAACTCCGACTGATGGAAGCGTAGCCGTAGAGAATGCATCAGTTACATGCGGACAGACAGTTAACTGCCACACTTGTTTAAATTTAAACAAAGGCAGATTTACTACGATTGGTTCATTTCTCAGGGCAATAACATAAAACAGATAACTACCATCCTCTGGTTAAGTTGAAACATGTGCAATGTGTGCACCTTCTGTCTGTAGAGAATCTGTGCATTGAGAGAGTAGCTTCCAGTACATTCAAGGACATTACGCTGCCAGCCTCGTTATCTTAAATTGGTTTCCTTATAGTAATAAAAAGGATTGTTTACACATTTAGTGTTTCTGATGAAGCATCTTGATGACTGCAAGGTAAAAGCTTCAAGAAAAATGTCTTTTTCTTCCCCAGCAATAATCAAGTTCTGTACTACCTTATTTTTGAACATATTAATTAGTCCATTACCTGGTGCCTTATCAAACGCCTTTCAAAAATCTAGATTT